TGCTGCTGCTTGGTTCATGTTTGCTGCTGTCTATCATCGGCAGCAGCCGCAGCACAGCAGCAGGAAGAGAAGCAGAGAGCAGCCCCTGAGGTTTTCTCCATAGCTGCAGCAGCTGCTGCTGCAGTGGTTGCTGCTGCTGCTCGTGCTCCTGCTGCTGCTGCTGCTGCAGCTGCTGCTGCAGTAGCAGCTGCTGCTGCTGCTGCGGATGGCTTGCCTGCCGCAACAACCCTAGAGGGCTAAGACGCTGCTGCTGCAGGAGTTGCTGCTGATCGAGTTGCTGCTGCTGCAGCTGTAGCTGCTGCTGCTGCAGCAACAGCAGTCTTTGCTGCTGCTGCTGCTGCTGCTGTTGCAGCAATCGTTGGTGCTGCAGCTGCATCTGCTGCAGCAGGTCCTGCTGCTGCTGCTGCTCAGGCGTTGCTGCATCCATAAACAGTCCTGCTGCTGCTTGTTGCTGCTGCAGCTGCTGCTGCAGATGCAGTTGCTGCCGCTGTTGCAGTTGGTGCTGCTGCTGCTGCAGTTGCTGCAGTTGCTGCTGCAGCAGCTGCTGCTGCTGCGGCTGTAGGAGTTCTGGCTGCTGCATGCGGGTCAGCTGCTGCAGCAGCGGCTGCTGCGGGTGCTGCAGTTGTTGCTGCTGCAGCAGCAGTTGCTGCTGCGGTTGCTGCAGCTGTTGCTGCTGCAGCAGCAGTTGCTGCTGCGGTTGCTGCAGTTGCTGCTGCAGCAGCAACTGCTGGTGAGGGAGTTGCAGCTGCCTTTGCAGCTGCAGTTGTTGCTGCAGCAGCAACTGCTGCTGCTGCTGCATTTGCTGCTGCTGCTGCTGCTGCTGCTGCTGCTGCAGCTGCGGGTGCCGCAGCTGCATCTGCTGCTGCACCAGCTGCTGCAATGGAGAAGCAAACAAAGAGGCTGCTTCTATCTGTTTAGATATCTCCCCAGCAGCTTCTGTATTCTTCTGCTGCTGCTGCTGCTGCTGCTNGCTGCTTCTATCTGTTTAGATATCTCCCCAGCAGCTTCTGTATTCTTCTGCTGCTGCTGCTGCTGCTGCTCCTGCTGCTGCTGCTCCTGCTCCTGCTGCTGCTGCTGCTGCTGCTGCAGCAGCAATTCATCTGAGTCAACAGACTCTTCTCTCTGCCCCAGTGGCAGCAAAGAGAGCAGCGAAGGCCGAGAGCCTCTAGTCCTGCTGCTGCTGCTGCTGCTGCTGCTGTTGC